GACTACACGCATGGATAGGGAGCTATCTCAGAGGACGTACCATTTTTATGTCGACATCCGACGGTGACACGGCGAGGCACCTCGTAAACCGTGGAGTTCCGCAAGGCGCCGTCCTGAGCCCCATGCTTTTTAACATAGCACCCATTGGCCTTGAAGCTGAGCTTCCCGACGTTGTCAGAATCAGTGCGTATGCGGACGACATATGCATATGGGCATCTGGAGCAACGCGACCACAACTGCGAGCAAGGCTACAACAAGGCACATCAATAATATCTAAGTACTTACGTCGTCAGGGCCTGGAACTTTCAATAGCAAAATGTGCTGCATTGGCATTTACGAAGAAATCAATGTCGTGGTACCCAATCTTCGCTCACGGAGCAGTGATTCCCGTGGTCAAGCACCACCGCTATTTAGGGGTCGTCATTGATCGCAACCTGTCCTGGTCAAAGCATGTGACTGTGCTGCGAAACAAACTAATCAGTTTTGTGTATGTTCTTCGTGTTATAGCAGGACTGAGATGGGGCCCTTCGGAGAAAAGTCTTCTGCAGTTATACAAGGCATTGTTTGTGGGCTATATAAGGTACAGCTCACCTGTGCTTTCCAGCATGCGGGCAACGTGCCTTCGTACTTTAGAGAGCCTTCAGGCACGATCACTGAGAATATGCCTTGGCCTGCCATGGTGCACGTCCACCTCTGGCACTATAGAGGAGTCACGCACCTACCCTATACAGGTTTACACGTCCTGCGAGCCTCTTCGAGTGCACCTTCGTCTGCTGACCCGAGATGCACAGCACCCGCTGTCTTCGCTACAAGTGGAACCACCAGGCTGTACCTATTCGCGAGGCCTCGATACGCATAGGCACATGCTCCCTTCAGGCTTTGCACCTGCCGTAATCCCTGCAGTGCCTCCATGGACATTGACTAAACCGCTGGTGTGCCTTCACATACGTGGAATTTCGTATAAGTCGCGTGTTTGTTATATTGCCCTCAAGCAACTCACCTTGGCACATTTAGATGACTGATACAGTGACTCTGTGCACATTTACACCGATAGATCCGTAACTTCACCCGCCTCAGCTGCAGCCTTCGTGATCCCTCAACTCAGTATTTCCTGACAGTACAAATTAGATCAGGGGTCATCTTCGACAGCTGCAGAAGTTGTTGCTATACAAGAAGCCATGAAATTTGTGAACGACCAAGCACCGCGTAAGTGGACGATTCTGTCTGACTCAAAATCAGCGCTTCAAGCTATTCATTCTTGCTGAAAAAGAGGCCAATTTTACGAGTTCACGTTCGGAATCGTCCAAGCATTTGATCTAACACACAGGAGCGGTCACTTGATTACACTCCAATGGATTCCTGGACACTGCGGCCTAGTTGGCAACGAAACAGCCGATAGCGAAGCAAGAGCGGCAATATACAACGCTCCTATGTACGTTAAAGTACCGTACTCGCGAGGTGACGTCAACACATTGTTGAGATCACTCATGCGCGAATATGCTGCCACTTACTGGTCGCTACCAGATCACCGGAACAAGCGCCTGCGCGAAACAGACCCCGGTATGACTTTTCACCTTCCAGATAAAATCAGCCGAAGACATGCTAATATACTGCACCGAATTAGCCTGGGCGTCGCATTCACTCGCCACTACACCCACCTAATCGGCCGTGCGGACAGCCCGAATTGTGAACGCTGCCAAGTGCGCGAAACGATAGCTCACATATTTTGTGACTGCGCATTATACGTGGCGCAAAGAAAAATGCTAACTGCAACGTTGCAAGCATTGGACGAACACCATTAAGTGAAAGCCACATATTGTCAGCAATGAACGACCAAACAGTGTCGAAAACTGCTACAAAGGCTGTTCTAGATTTTATAAAAAGCACTGGACTAGAAACTAGACTGTAGGGTACTATGCTAAGTGTCTACTGTACATACGCACCACCTCTTCTTGTCCCCATCATCACCCTTTATCCCTCTTTCCGTCCCTTTTCCCTTATCCCCTGTGTAGAGTAGCAGGCTAGAGCGAACTAGCTCAGGCCGACCTCTCTGCCTTCTAATAAATTCTCACTCACACACACCGCTCTAGAGTGGTTATGTGCCACCTGTGATTACCTACTACTACGTACATCAGAGGATGTAGAGACCCACGCCTTAAGGTGCTTCGCCCCTAAAACTGCCATTTTTTCTTTGTTAGTACAGCATTTTCATAATTATAATTTCCTATCTCCAACAATAAAATTCAGTTTACCACCCAAGATACGCGCACCAACTCATTTCTTTTCTGATGAAGTTATGCGCCCTTCACAAGTACTTCGAAGTTTTAATCAGAAAAGTTACAGTGAATTTCAATAAATACTCAGCAATGTTTTCCTTTGTTTTGGAGCTGCTCTATCGATCTGCAGCAACAAGAATATCCATGGGTCCCTGTGCTAATTCCTGATTCACACAAAGAGGACGCATTGTTAAAGGGTCAATAATATTTGATTCTCCAATACTTCCAAAAACCACCAATATTTTATTATGTGTCTAGGAATTATTTTGCCATCAATTCATTAATACCGCGTTTATGAATTTTACTTACCGCTTTTATTGAATACTTACTTACCACTTTTATCGAATAACAAAAAAAAGACGTTCCGGACTTACATGAAGAGTGTCTTCGTTGTGCCCTCTAGAGTTGGTTGCGAACTCACACGCTTTTGCAGTGCCCTGTGAATGCGGGTGCGGATTTATGTGACGAGTACTCGTGGCGGCGAAGCTTATCAGCCCAGACTTGGGTCTACAACTCTTGGCTGCCCGCAGGACCCAAGCCATCGCGGAGGGTGGCCCGAGCCACCCTGCTGTACTGACCTGGCTGGTGCCACCAACTGGTATATGGGGTTTTATTACTTAATTCAACTAGTCCCTTTGGTGTTTTAATGTAGTTATTTGCATGTATGTATGTTCGTTTTCTAAAAATGTAAAACTTGAACCCCCTACCCTTGTTCAATGTTTTAATGTTCATATTTATATTGACCACCAATTTATTAGCCAATCCACTGTAGTGAGTAGGTGCAGTGAGTAGTGGGTATACTGGCCAATCCCCCTGGAAAATAAGGAGCAGGCAAGCTTCTACGGTGAAATGCTTTGGGAGCCTTGCAGACCAAAGGCAAAAAGGAAGACGAAGAATAGGAAGGGTTATCCAGTGGTCAGTCTTCGCTTAATTCTGTCCCGACTGGTGCAGGTTTGAAGGCTTGAACCCTTCGTAGGTGTCGCGCAGTTCGGGCAATCGAGTGAGTGTACTTTCCTGCGACTTATATTTCCCTAGGACGTTGGAAACAGAAAAAAAATATTCTTTGTTTTAGGATGTGGCACCCTCGGTTAGCCGAATACTGACAGCTGGTACCATGGGACATCGTTAGGCTAGGGTGATAGTGCATGTTCAATAATATAGAGACTCTGGCTTTACAAGCTGCGCTTATTCAAAGTAGCGCTGAAGATAAAGATAAAGTTCACAGATTATGGATTAGGGACGGGCAGTTTAATGCCTATAGCTTTTCGAGTATTAGCTAAGTCACTGAAAGCTATGGTGGTGGATTCGGAGCACAACTTCATCCAAAGTCATTACACTCGCACGGTGTCGCATCTTTACGAAAGTGGTGGTATCCCTTCTTGATTTCAATGTTTTGTGGCTTTTATTAGGGTTGAAGATCCTTGGGGCGTGGGCTTGTCCGCCGTTATCCGTCGTACCCACCCCTAACTCTCTGAAGGTTCACTAGATGGCGCTGCGGCGATCGCTCCCATCACCAGCTCGTTTATGCGGAAGCAAATCGAGAGTGGTGGGCGTGAACTCATGAACGAAGTGTTGAACCAAGACCTGGCCTTCATGGGGGGTGTACCCAACACCGTGCAGTACTGGCAAAAACTCCACAAGGAACTATTTGTCATGATTCGCCAGCTGGTCAAACCATACGCGTTTTTCGCTCTTTGTGCCGCTGAACTACACTGGGATGGCTGCGAGTGGGATTCACGGTTTACTGATGTACTTCCGGAGCTTAGCCCACACATCATCATTCACTCCGTGGATATGGTCTGTTTGATTTATTACACGAACGCTTTTTTTGCTCTTATTCACGCCTCGAATTTCTGCGCTTCGATTACCAAAATTGAATTCCTTCTATTTCTTTTTCTCAGGTGCGTTGCTTTAATTCTAGCTACCTGAAACACCGTTTTAGGCGGACAAGAAAATCGGGTCAACACATATGTAGCGCAGGCGATTCCCGAAGTACAATTAGTGAGTTTTATAAGCTGTGTGGTAAGTTCACATTTCTGATCTACAGTTCACAAGTCACACACTGCAGTACAACACCTATAGTATTTTCGGCTTTGCCTTATTTTTTCATAAACTGCACATAACTCTTTAAAAACATGTGTGTTTTATGGACGTTCATTTACCTTGTTTTTCTCTAAATAAGGCAGATCTTCGAAGTGCCTCCTTTGTTCTTGTGGGCGTTTTATATTTGAGTACAGGTACATTCAGCTTCAAATGTTCAGAGACCACAAAAACTAGAAAAAAAACTGAACATTCCCGCTGCAATGGCACGCAAACCTTTGATTCAGATTTGCTGCCTGTTTTAAAATACATTAAAAACATGTGCAACCAAGCACATTCCCAAACCGCTGGCAAACTCAACGTTTTCGCAGACCTGGCTAGTGGTCTTTTAAACTTTTGGCAATTACTGTACTTTGATCAGCAGCAGTATACGGCTCAGTTTATTGCAGTATTCTCTTTACAGCGTTTTGAAAAAATTCGTTTCTGGGCGCATCACTCAATCAATAGATCAATCAATCAATTGTATATACTTCGCAGTCAGCGCTAACACACAAAGAACTCTAACTGAAAGCAGGCAATCTTCGAGGCACTGCTTGCAGTCAGCGCTAATACAGGTCTTATAAAGAAGTATTTCACTGCTGGCAGGCAATCTCCAAGGCATCGGGCTGTCTTAACTCTTGTGTCATGGGGCGAAAGAAGAAGAAGCATCATCACAAGAACCAGGAAAAGTCCAAGTCTCGCCGCACGAAACACTCGACGGCATCGCCGGCGCAGTTGGTGGAGGAGCAGCAGAAGTCTCCAGACACTACGCAGAAGGCGCACAACACGGACGAGATGCAGGTGCAGTGGGCATCCGACCAAACGCGGGTGCTGTCTTCCGCGGATCACACGCCAGTGGCGTCGACTCCCAACATCGAGAGAACCACTACGGCGGTCCACACGGCACAAGGCGTGGCGAGCCTGGCCGAGGCCACTGCCAGCACCCCTCCCTTTCCAAGGACACGCGAGTTGTCGAGGAAGGCAAGCAAGTCATCCAGGATTTCCAGGGCTTCCAAGACTTCCAAGGCCTCCAAGTCGTCCACGCACGGCGTGTCTTGGGGTAAGGTGCAGATGAAAGACGCGCGTACCCCGGTGGACCGTGTGACGCCGCCGTCTCATTGGTCGGAAGTCGGCGCGGGACTCGAAGATGCGGAGTCGGACCAGCACGCCAAAGAGATCGTACGTATAGGCTAATTCGTCCAACTAGCCGGATGGCTTTCATTACGATATCAATTGGGGTCGACAGCGTGCTCTTAAGAAGAGAGGGTCTTTCTGTCACGCAGTAATATTCGCCTTCTATTTCGTGTCTTTTCTGGCGCTAGAGCAGTACGTGCAATAATATCTGGTCTCGAATAACATTTCCCGTAAAAAACAGAGGTTGTGGGCTCAAGCCGATGTTTCCACAAGCGGACTTTTCATCCTTCTGTCCTCGCCTCGAGAAAGACGAGTCCGTTTGTTCGGCATCCTTGAGAAAGCCGCTGGATAAAAATGAAGGTCGTGCCAGAGACTTACTGGAACATTTTGGTAAAATTGCAATACAACGCGTGCGGCTTCGCATCACAACTGAACACTGCCCATTAGAAACACATGGGGCCTCTTTGTGAAGTATTAAACAGCCTGGAAAGCCACGCGGTTTGTGGTGCGACACCGTAAATTTACTGAATTTTCATTAAGTATGTGCTGTGTAGAACCGGGAGCCGTTTTAATGACTACCTTTTTATCACAAAATATGATTCTTTTGCCCCTTTTCCCGTTCATTTACGGCAGGCTTCTGCTGTTGCCGACGAGAGTACCTGAATCCTGGTCATGTCCTTGTTTTCATTTCGCTGATAGAGTGCATTCAAGTAACTTCAAACCTTAGCAGTTTATTTCTTATTATGCAGTCATGAAAAAGCATTACAACGGGCAAAGTGCATAGATGGGAACAAAGGCAAGCACTGACTGCGACGTTTGGCACGAGTGAAAGCGGCGTCAGCTTGACGATATCCGGCAAAACGACACGTCAGCCGCCATTCGAAGTGTCCCCGTGCACAAGTTTCTTGCAATACCCTGGACTGCAACTAGAAGTCCCACATCGACGACAGATAATAGTGGTCCATCAACCACTAACTTACACGGTGTGGTTGGTGACGGATTATTTCCGTTCGTTTTTTTTCTCTTCTACGCGTCATAACATCATACATAGTATCTTGTGCACATGTCAGTGAAGAGACTGCCGTTAGAGACGAGCCTGCCGTAACTACTAGCGTGCGTACATTCCTTTGCCCTGACAAACTGAAAGTGGAAGGCTATACTGAACTGCAAAAATGTTTTCTTCCAGAGTTGTATTTTCAGTGACTTCTTTGTATAGCACGTCAATTTCGCCGACCTTCGTTGGATCCTTCTTGACCGTTGGTATTGTGTGGGTGCAGTTTGAGAAGCCTTAGTCAGCTGGTCGTGACAATATAGTTCCTTTAACAGCAAAAACTTTTCGGTGCGCCAGATAGTGCGAGCAGAAACAGCACGCATTCGCTTCGTCCTCCTCTTCATCTTGTGCTTCGATCTCACGACACGTTCACTGATATGTTTGGCCGGTTAGTGCAATAACTACGATGGGCGAGCGACTAAAATTTACGTAACATCATTTAGCAACTATTCACGGCACTAAAATCGCGTAACATCAAGAAACACCTAGTCACGTGACTAAACATGACGTAAGAGCACGTAACATTTGGTTACGTGAATAAATGAAATGGCACCACGTAGTAAATAGTCACGTGACTAAAAATCCCATTTTGCTAAGTCACCAGTTAGGGGATAAAAATCACGAAACATCTCTCCACAACTATTCATGTGACTGAAAATGACGTAACATCGTGTAACACCACGTGACGGAACTAAAGTCACGTACATCTTGTCGCGTGAGTATAATTGCGTAACGCCTAGTTACGTAGCATCTAGGCACATGACTAAAAATCACGTACCATCGTCGAACATCTACTCATGACACTAGAAACTGGTCACCGCTAGACAAGTGACGTATTCCAGTGAAATTGATAGAGAATGTTAAAGCCGGGTACCCCCAGCCTCCCGTTCTTGCGTTCTTTGTATTCTTCTTGGGTGAAGCTGGAAGTACAAAGCAACGCAAGAGTGTGCGTTGTTACAAAGGCGCGACGCTAACACGGTCCCGAAGGCGCCACTTCTCCGAACTCCGCCGACAGGGTCACCAGCCGTTTGGTAGCGTGTGTTACTCAGCTCGCGACTGCTTCTGCGCAGAGCTGATAGACGAGCGGGCGAAACGACGGTGAGTTAGAGCAAGGTTTATGTACAGCATAGAAATAGAGGCGTTACATATTCGGCATTGGGGCCGACAACTTAGGGACTTGAAGAGCCGAGATATGTCTTTTCTCGCACGCATCCGTCGGCTTCTCTCTGCCGCATAGGTCAACTGCTGGCGACGCGCCGCTTGGCTTTCTTTATAGCACTGGGTGAATCTTTGCGTCACCAACGTCCAACCAGAAGCGCCGCTGGCCGTTATGTCAGAATCCTCCAACGGGGACCCACCGCTGCGCGTGGTTGCACCCAAGGACGAGGGATGTTGCCAAACATTGCGTAAGACTCGCCAGACTGGAAGGCGCCGATTGCTTCATCGGGCTCGTGGGGTAAGGGTTGCGTTGCGTGACAGACCAGCGCCGCCGCTTGATGACGTCGTTGAGTTGATAGCGTCAGGCGGGCTCGATCGCTGGCCTTGACACAGATTGCCTTTGCAGAAGCATTGATGTTGGTGGGGACTCCCAGGCGTAACAGCACCCCCGCCACCAGACAATGCACCGGAAAGACGAGCTGCTTCCAAGTGGCTCGGATGTCGGGCGCGCTCGTTCGCCAGGTCACTCCAGGTTCGCTTTCAGGGCCATCGGGAGAATGTAGCTCTAGTCTCACTTCCGTGAACACATCCGATTCTTGAGGACAGATCCCAGCTCTACTGGCTTGTCGCCACAACTTGTCTGCCAGCTTCGCTCGTCTCTTCTGACGAATTTTGGTCTCAGCACTTGTCGATGGCTCCGCAACTTCTTAAGAACGGTTCGATAACAGACAACACACGGCACAAGCAAGTGCCCTCGGTTACCCGACAGAACACCAGACAGAGTATAGTACAACATATACCTAGCTGCGTGTCTATCGGAATTTCGTTCTCTCTACATCAAGAGGCACATGTGGGACACAAAGATTCTTAAAATGAGAGCTCGAATGTTTACACGTACAACAACGTAATGAAATAGAATGCAACATAAAACTGGCCCCTTGAGATCACTCTGGACGAGAGCGCTCAGCTAAGGCCGTGATTAGTACAAAATTTTGCCTCTACTCGCCAGCAAAACACCAAAAGGTGGAGAAGGTAGTTAATTAAACGCACGGCTCAATGCGTCTGCATTACCGTTTAGCTTTCTTTTTGTTGCGAACTTCAAAGTTGTGCTGTTGGAGTCTTATGTTCCACCTCAGTAACTAGCTACTTTTAGGCGGCATGTTATTTAACCAGGTTAGAAGACAGTGGTCTGTTTCGACCACAATCCTGGAACCAGAGACATAGCAGGCAAGCTTTTGAACGGCCCACATGAGGCAAGCGCATTCTTTTTTTAGAGGTACTGTATGTCTTTTCTGTGCCGTTCAGTTTTTGACTTAAATACAAAACTGGCCTTTCGTTACCAGCACTGTCTTCGTGGCACAATATAGCTCCCATGCCGCGATCATTCGCATCGCATTGAATCACAAATCTCTTAGAGAAATTGGGTGCCATGAGAACAGGCTTTTCGCTTAGGGCCTGTTTCAGCTTGCAAAACGCATTCTTCTTTTCTCAGTCCCATACCACTTTAATTGGCTCCGACTTTCGAAGTGCGTCAGTTAGAGGGCTGGCAACGCTAGAGTAGTTTTGCCCGTAATGTTGATAGTATCCAGCTAGGCCCAAGAATGCCCTTATCTGAGATTTCGTGTTTGGTCGTGGATAGTTCATGACGGCGGCTACCTTAATTTCTGAAGGTCTACTCCGGCCACGCCCCACAACGTGTCCCATGTACGACACCTCGCCGCACCCTAGGTGACAGTAGAGGTCCGTTCGATTCACCTGCACCACTTGGAACCGGTTCATGATGGTGCACAATAGGTGCACGATGGGTGCGTGGCCAGTTCAGAAGAGTAGCAGCGGTGTCGACGCAGCGGGATAGCAGCGCCACGCAAAGTCGAATGCCGAAATGCAGTTGTTGTGCCATGTCTTCTGCTGTGTTCCAAACAAGGGCGCAGGTGCGTGTGTGTCGTGTGTGCGTCCCTGTGTGTTGTTTTCGTTCGTGAATGAACAATCTAACACCTGTGGCTTTTCTGTACGAAGATGAACTCTGGCCTGCTTTCAACTTTCGTGCATGTCGCCAAGGAGCTGATGGATTCTGACAGCGACGAAGAGTACGACGACTTAGTCGCAGCAATAGCAATGAAATCGGCGAGATTGGACCGAAATCGCATACCAAGGTATTGTGAGGACGTTGTTGACCGGTATTTTGGTTTCGAGTTTAAACGGATGTTTCGGCTGTCACGGGAAACGTTCGGGGATCTCGTAGCGCGCTACCAGACGTCCTCGTTCTTCCCACATTCTCCTGGTGGTCGCCCACGGATTAGTGCAGACAAGACTTGCTTGGTTGTTTTGAGCTACCTTGGTAGCCAGTCGAGTATGTACTCCCTTGCCTACAGATTTGATATATCTGAGTTGTCAGTGCGCACGTGCATTGAGCGCGTATTGAACTTTTTACTCAGTATAAGCGAAGAAGTCATTTCTTGGCCAGACAGTCGTGAGCAAGAACGGATTAAGACTGGCTTTTTGCTAAGGAGCGAAGGTAAAGGTCCGCGCAACACCATAGGCTGTGTGGACGGTTGCCACATAGAGATTAAGAAGCCGGAAGAGTCGCCGCATTCGTACTCTAACCGCAAGAAATTTCCATCTGTGGTGCTCCAGGAAATATGCAATGACAGGAACAAGTTCATTGACGTTTTAATAGGATTTCTTGGATCTGCACACGATGCCAGGGTGCTTCGTGAAGGCCCTTTCTTCGAGGTAGCTCAGACGAAGTGTGCAGACAGTTACCTGCTTGGAGACTCTGCATACCCCTTGCTTTCGTGGTTATTGATATCATACCGGGATAACGAACAGACTTTTC